AAGTTTGTGGTTTGTCTTTTGATAGTGATTTTGAATTTTTTCAAATTTATCGGTAAAAAAATTTTCTATCGGAATTTCAAATCAAATTGAAAATGGAAAGTTTTCAGAAAACATTTTAATGAAACGAAGGTTCAAAAATTTGAGATTTTTGGCCGATTTTTGAAGGCTAGATAGATTCAGGGGCAAAAACCGCCCAAAATTGTTCAAAAATAAATCGGCCAACAAATCTATACCTACCGAATGTGTATCTTAGAGACTGAATATGATGGCTTTCTAATACAACATTAGAGATATTGTTTACTGGTGTGATGAAAAACCAATTTTTACCCACTTTTTAAGTTTGTGTAATTTAAATTCAATAGTATCAAAGCGATGAACTGTTTAGTGATTTTTTACCTAAAACTTTCTGCACAGAATGAATTTACACACACTGTATGACTTTAGTAACTAATTTTTTCCCTAATACGTTCAACACGTTGTGTAATATCTTTGGTTTTCAGAACATTTTTGATGGACTGACTTTATTGGGCAATATTTATACCCTTTCGGAACAACTACTTTCACATGAACATTGAATTACAAGAGACTCACTTGTTTCCATTCATTTTGTACTACAAACAGTCGTTATGGAATTGAGAATGATATCATCCTCAATGGTGTGCTTCGAAGTTTCGGGACAATAAACTTGTTTTATCACCACATCAGCGCCTTTTTGGATATCGGTGCAAAGCCAAGCTGTTATTTCTTTCATAACAGTACGACTTTATGTCAGCGAAAGAGAAAAATCTGCTCTTGTCAATAATTTGATAATAATTCGGAAATGAGCCAGAAAAAATTGTAGTAGTAAGTTTATGTTACCAGTTTCGATCTTCCTGAAAAGTGGATTGAAACTATTTTAGTATATTGTAGAAATACTTTCAGACTTCTTTTAGAGCCGATCAAAGCTACAGAGACAAATATAGTCAGATATCATCATTCTTTTTTAAAAATATTGTTGAGTTATATCAAAAAAAGCATTGTATATTTTGCTCCCTTCACGTCGTAGAAGTATATTATGATATTTTTTCGAAGAACAACTTTTAGCCATATTTTCCTGAAATAGAATGTCTTTTTATATTTGAAATACGTTACAGAATTTTAGTACCTACTTTGAACATTTATCATTACATACTGTTACGTTTTTCCCGGTATGTTGACCAATAATTGACTACACTGAATAATCAAACTTAACTTTATTACACTTTAAATACAATAAACACTTCAACTAAAACTTCAACTATTATTCGAATGTCTATCGCCTTACTATATCGCTTCGCGTACCGCACTGTAACTTCCACTTGACTGTGTCGATATGCTCGTGGCTAGCGTTTATATATCGTAATCGAATGCACTAGAAAATTTCGCCGGAATTCCATCGAAATCGATATCATTATTCTCGCTCCATCTAGAGCGGCAGCGAACATCGTACTTTCGCGCGCTCTGAACTACGTCACAATTGGTTTATGGCTACCAGTGGCGGTCAGTGTTATTTTCTTTAGGGCATCATTTACAACAGTATTATTAGACAAAGTGTCTTCGTCGCTTCTATCTATCTTTCTGTTTGTTTGAACTCGAAAAACTCAAAAACAACCGAACTGATTTTCTTACCAATCACACCAATAGACGGAATGGTCCAAGAGGAAGGTTCATGTGAATATTTCATTATTGAAAATTTGTGTAAATGGATTGAAATACGAGGGGGGTTCCAGAAGTACCCGGCCCAACAAAGAAAACACACAAATTTTGGAAAAAAATGTATATATTTTTGAACATAATCTTCTTGAAGCTCCATACCCTTTTTCCAGCGACGTTCAATAAGTACGATACCGATTTTATAATACGAACTGTCTTGCTCCTCAAAATAGTCACTAACTGCCGACATCACTTCTTCATAGTTGGAGATTCTTTGACTACTGAGCCATTTTTCCAAGCTTGTGAACAGAAAATAACCCGAAGGGGATAAATCAGGCGAATAAGGTGTATGAGGTAGCAATTCAAACTTGAATTCGTAAATTATGGTCAATGCGATAATGGATTTGTGAGCTAGCTAGCCAGCTGCGACCACTTTTGCTCGATTGCTTCACTTAAACGTTGCAATTACGTCGCATAATACTCGCCGTTGATAGTTTACCTTTTTCAAGATATTCAATGAAAATTATCCCACGCGCAACAATGCCATGACGTTGCCTACAACAGTCTTCGCCTTCTTTGGAGCCGGTTCTCCTATTTAAGTCCACTGTTTTGATTGTTTTTTTTGTCTCGGGTGTAAAGTTTTGCACCCATGTCTCATCCATGGTTATAAAACGACGCAAGAATTCTGCTTTGTTGCTTTAAAACTTTGCTAAACTAGCGACTTTCAATAAGTACGATACCGATTTTATAATACGAACTGTCTTGCTCCTCAAAATAGTCACTAACTGCCGACATCACTTCTTCATAGTTGAAGATTCTTTGACTACTGAGCCATTTTTCCAAGCTTGTGAACAGAAAATAACCCGAAGGGGATAAATCAGGGGAATAAGGTGTATGAGGTAGCAATTCAAACTTGAATTCGTAAATTATGGTCAATGCGATAATGGATTTGTGAGCTAGTGTATTCTTGATGAACCAACACTTTTTTCTTAGCCAGCTGCGACCACTTTTGCTCGATTTCTTCACTTAAACGTTGCAATAACTTCGCATAATACACGCCGTTGATAGTTTACCTTTTTCAAGATATTCAATGAAAATTATCCCACGCGCATCCCAAAAAAAAACAATGCCATGACCTTGCCTACAACAGTCTTCGCCTTCTTTGGAGCCGGTTCTCCTATTTAGGTCCACTGTTTTGATTGTTTTGCACCCATGTCTCATCCATGGTTATAAAACGACGCAAGAATTCTGCTTTGTTGCTGTAAAACTTTGCTAAACACTCAATTGAAACATCTTCACTATACTATTTTTGCTCGAGTGTGGGCAAACGCGGCACCCATCTTGCACACAGATTTTTCATATCCAAATTTACAGTACGCATTTTAAAATGTCCGGTAGGTACGATGTACCTACCGAACATTTTAAAATGCCTACTGAATCTGCTAGCTCGCGAACTTTCATTCGATGATCATTCAGTACCGCTGTGCGGAATTTCTTCACCGTTTCTGGAGTCATTACCTCATTTGGTCGACCACTGCGTCTTGGCAGCTAGTACGACGTCGTTTAAACTCTGCTAACCAATATTTTACTGTTGTAAACGACGGAGCAGGCTCAGCCGAAGTAGAATCCAGTTCAGCTTTTATATTGGTTGGGCTGAGGCCTTTCAAATAAAAGTATTGTACTGTATAACGATGACCAATTTTCATCATTTTCACAAATTCACCGAAAACGTTCACTATTGATGGCTGCCAAACAAATACTAAACAATGCAGCGTCTTCAAACTTGAAACACATGCTTTATAGATTGTGTACTTTCTAACACAGTGATACTTTCCAAATAATTACTGCCATTTCTAGGTCAGGCTGGGTATTTCTGGGACCACCCCCGTATGACAATGCCATACGAAACCGTGGTGGTTTGCAAGCAAATCGAGTAAAAATGTTTGCTCTCTTTTATTTTTTCCTGAAAAAAAATTTAGATTTAGAGACCGTCAAAAAACATTAAAGTAGCGGAAAAGCAGGGAATTCCCTAAGGTTTATGTCGTCTATTCAATGAAATAAAGATACAATTAAGTACCATCTTTCATACACTTATTTGAGGATACTCGGCGCTAAAAAGAAATCTGTTGAACTCATTTATTCTTCGTAGATTTGAATCTGCCGAAAAAAAGCCGTCTTACGTCTTTCAAATTGGGCACCAGCTTCGTTTCTGGGTAAATTTGAAAGTCGTCCTCATTTAGAAGACATATTGTCAAGTTGATCACATCAACATTTTCTGACGTTTCTAAAATCGAACGATAACTTGAAAAATAAACGCAATCATCGATGTTAGTACCTCTCGAATTGAATATCCTGATTCTCTCTCCGATGAGCATTTTGAACTACGAAAAAGACAAACAAAAATAAAAGCTTGACCTAACGGTGTTATCGGTGTGATGAGTAAACCCCACCAAGCACAACCATTTATATATGGGGACGACCAGAAGTGTGGTATAGTAGTCGAGCAAAGAGTTTACAGCAAGTGAAGTGAAATAGTGCGAATTGTCCCAAAGCAAATATGCTGTTGAAAGCATTTATAGTTCTGAGTGGTTTCCTGCTGCTTGGGGTTCATTGCAATGTATACAGGTAGGAAAATGAATAATGGAATTTATAGCGAAATTGTTGAAGATTTTATGAAAGCAGCATGAAGATGTTTATCAAAGAACATTTTTTTCAGGAATGTTCTTGAGTGGTCGAGCTTTTAGTTTATGGAAAAAATCGACTCGTTCTTCGATTCATTTTCATTTATTGGACATAATAGAGGAAACGTGTATTTTTGTTATGAAAAATCTCTAATTCTAAATTGCTAGAACTGAATACTGAATATGCACATTAGAAACTAGACAACCTATAATTCTAAAAAGTAACTTAATCTCAATGGTGGTATTTTCTAGAATATATTAAAGTTGTCGCGCTTTCAGTTTATAAACAAATTTACTCGATTTTCGATTTGTATATTGCAAACACTAGAAAAAATGTGTTGGTGATCTTTATTATGGAAAATCTTCAGTTCTAAATTGTTACAATTGAAGTCTTTTGGACAGTTTTAGATTCGATTCATGCATAAGGAAGTTATTCAACAATAATAAAGACAAAACATCTAAATTCAAGAAATCAGGAGTATATATAGAATTAAATCGTTGAACTTGTCCTGAAGTATATATTGGTCAAACCGGCAGAACATTTAGGGATCGTATCCAGAAACATCATATGAGCTATCTGAATAAGAAAACAAGTTCGACATATTAGAATCATCTTTTAGAAGAAAATCATATCTTCAACTGAGATTTCAAATTTCACACATAGAAAATAAAAGTTTAAAGCTAAATCATTTGGAAGCAATGGAAATCAATAAACATAAAAATTCAGACATTTCACTGAATGACCAACTGGATTTAAATAGATCACCATTATTGACCTTGTTTTCTTAGAAACTGGTGTTATTATAGTCTCTGTAGACTTACGAGTATTATTATTGATGAATAATTGATGTAATATGCTCTAGGTTATCATAATTGAGGATGTTCTTGAGGTATATAAAAGTTGAGTAGGTTCTCTAGGTAAATATGATTAAGTATGTAGCTAAGAAGGTAGTTTTCTCACTGGTGATTACGTAGGGTATATAAAAGTTAAAGTAAAGCATTGGTTTTCAATATGTTTCGCTACTGTGATAGCGAAACATTTGATATTTGCTTACTAATTGGAAATAATAGGAAAAATGTGTGATTTTTGTTATGAAAAAATCTTCAGTTCTCAACCATTAGAACTGAAGTTTGTGGTTTGTCTTTTACAATCCCTTTTATTAGGTCAAAGGTTT